TCTGAGAGGGGCTGGACTCAATGATCCATAGGGTCCCTTCCAGCTCTGCAGTTCTATGATGCTGATGCCGGATGCTTTATCATTCCAGCCTCATCTCCCTCCATTATCTCTGCATCTTCCTCAATTCAGTCTGTTCTTGCCAGTTCTTGACCTTCATCTGCTGATCCTGATCCCCTACAGAAGAGAAGCCCTTTGTGCATGGATTTCATCCAGTCTGTACATTATGTAGAGTAGCACCTTAATCACTAGGGGGAGCTAATTGGTAATAGGAAGCTGTCAAGGAAGCACCTGAATCAAGCTAGGCTGTTTTTGCTGGTATGATCTGCCAGGTTGATTGTGGATCTCACTGCCAGGACAGTACATGTCTTCAACTTTGCATCCAGTTAGAAACATTTTGGCCTTCACCAGAATGATTTCAAAGCCAAAGTCAAACCTGGGCTGCAATCCTATGCTATACTTCGTAAATATGGAACCAAATTTCTATATTAATATGCGTAGAATCAAGCTGATTATATAATTTTTAACTGATGGTCCATACCTCTGTTTTCATTAAACACCTTGCAAAGGCATAGCTCTGATAATCACTTTTTCCCCCTAAGGTTTTTCTATCACTGAGGTGCAAAAGAAACAAGCTATGCTTAATGCCAACAAACAGAACCAGACTGGAAAACCAAAAGGTAAGTTAGGACAGGTGTCCTCCTATTTCATGTTTCCCTCCCTTCTACTGCTCACCACAGCACACCAACATGAAAATAAGAATGGCTAACCTAAACTGGTCTGGGAATCTTCTGTTTAGCTGTAAGAGAGCTTCTGCTGCTGCAGGTGAAGGAATATCCATTTTATTCCAGGTAAAGCACAGAGCAATCAGAGAGAGAGAGAGAGATGTCACAAAGAAAACCTGAAACTGAACCCAGTCTAATAATACCTGTTATTTTTATTATTTTTAAAATATTTTCTCTAGAGAGAGAGAGAGAGAGAGAGAGAGAGAGAGATGTCACAAAGACAACCTGAAACTGAACCCAGTCTAATAATACCTGTTATTTTTATTATTTTTAAAATATTTTCTCTGTATTTCATGTTCTATCTAATTTATACAGTACAATTAGATTTTTTTAAAAAAAATCCTTACAAAACAATAATATGGCTCTAATCTATGGAGGGGAAAAGAAATTGAATGATCTAATCTAAGGACTGCCTTATGCAGAGTTGTAATCTGTTTAGATATCTTGACTCACCAGGTTGAATCTCCATCTTTGTTTTAGGGATGATCTTGAATGTCACTGCTCTGTCTGAGTGGGGCAACAGACAACCTCCAGGATTACTTTGCTGAAGCTGTGGCATAGCTTCAATGGCTAGCTAAACATTCTCCATTGAACTTCATTCAATTGGATCATTATTTCCAATTGTTTCAGCATTTAAAGTTGCATAGCAATCACAGGACCATTTGTTATCCCCTTGAATTCCATTGGGTTGCCCATATCTCTAGTACACAAAATGTTAATCTGATTTCTGTATTGATGCATGTTAGCTTCTCTAAACTCAGATGTGACGGTCTGAAGGCTACAGTATTAAATAACTGTAGATTCTTTCATGCACAAAAATTGAAAAGTATAATTTGCTTCCCCCCTCACATACTCAAAACAATTTTGTTTTGTATCAAATCCACTGTAATCTTGGAAACTTACATTCAACATTAGATGCTGCAGGCCTACAAATCCAGATTGCCATGCTGTGCCAAGCCAAAGTACCTTATATTGTAAAGACTATTCTGTTTCTAAAGATGCAGCTCACTCATGTAATATGGAAAACCCTGTTTTCTGGACAACGTATATTTTTTTCCTGCTTTTACCTGAGCTGAATTGCAGAGGTTTCAGAATGAGAAAGATGACTATGTTGATATTTATGGCTTGGGAAGATTCCCTTCAGCATCTTAGAAAAAAATCAACAATGACCATTGTTGTATCCCATCCCATGGTGTGCTGTACCATGTGACCATTAGTAATTAATGAACAGATAACCTAAACAAATTGGAGCAGAAATTTCTCTTCAATGAGATTTGTAGAGTTCATACAGACCAGAGTTTACATGAAGGCCAGAGTTTGGAAAAATTAGTCTTTGTGTAGCCTTTCTTCATTCCATAGAAATCAAGGTATTGTGAAACCATAAAGCTACCTTCAGTACCACGAGAATCTAGGTCTTTTTAAAAGTATTGGTTTAAAGATAAGGTAGTCTGGCTGGTGTGTGGGGCATATGCTAATCCTAAATGGAATGGAACTGGAATATACGGGTCTGTTGATGCTCAGGGTAGTGAGGGGGGCCTACCTGTTGCTTTGATAACTTCATCACAATCCAGAAAATGTGGGAAGAAGCCAGCTATACTTCCTCTGCTGTGCCAAGAACATCCCAGGATGTTCTGGGCATTACAAGAAGTATGGGCAAATGCCTCCCACACTTCCTGTTTGATGTTAAAAAAAGCAGTCATTGGAGCAACAGCGAGAGCTTTATTTTTTACTTTACAAAAATATATACATTAGGAAGATATGCAGTAACAATGTTGACTGAACATTACTCATTTTTAAAAAAAACATTTATGTCATTTCAATGATTGACTCCATAAAGGAAGCCATGGTCTTAGGTTTACATTTTGGATGTCATTCATTCATAATATCACCATAAGTTGGACACCACTTGAAAGGATGTAACACCCATGTCATTTCTATAGTGTCCAAAAGTACTACTGTTGTCCTTTACCACCGAAGAAGTAACAGGCAACTATAATGCTGTGATTTTTTAACTTGTTAACAATAGGAGATAGCTGTGTCATTCTTTTCTCCTGTGCCTGTAGAAAAGGTATGGCACAGCTTAGGTGTTTAGAGAGCTGTTTTGTTCTATAAGGAAGTATGAGACATAACTTGTTTCATGCACAGAAAGGGTTAGAATGAAGGCCTGGAATGCCCTCTAGATTAGATATGGAAAACAGGAAGTTGTGGTAAGAAACTTCCCTTTCTCTGCTACCCTGAGATGTGTCAAAAACATGCATGTTAAATGTGAAGTTTCATTTAATGTTATGTCTTGTTTTTCCTTTACTAACACAATTCAAGGACAAGGTAAGTCTCTTTGAAAGAAAGAAAATGCCTCTTTGTATTATAACAAATACATCAAAACAAGGTTTTGTTGTTGATAGATTTCTTCTCTTGCTCCTTTCATCAACAGTAGTCACCAGGACGTATTACGATTTCCTGATGCGGCAGAAGCACCCCACATTGCCTACCAATCTTCCCCAGCAGCAAGTGTTCATGTTGGCCGAGCCCAAGCGCAAGCCCTCCAACTTCTGGCAGAACATCAGCAGGCTGGCACCATTTCGAAAATAAAGCAGCAGCCCAATCTTGTGCCTGAAATTATCTTCTGAGAAAGCACTTTATACATCGATCCTGTGAGATAAAGCACTGGCTCCCTCTCATGGCTTTCAAAGGGACATCTTTTTCACCTTCTTTTCCATCCTTCCTTTTGCCAGACTGAATGAGCTCAAATGTGTTATGCCATTGTCATGTGTGCATTTGTATGTATGCAAAAGTGAACTAAACCTGCCCATCTCTTTGAGTGAGTATCCAGGAGAAAGCATGAGAATGAAGCCAGAAACCTACTACCACCCTTTTATTCTCTTTTCCCCAAACCTGCCTCATATTGTCATTTTGATTTCCTTTTTGACCATTCCTCTCTTTGGAAATATGATTCACATTCAGTTCCAATAAGGCTGCTAGATGAAGAAGGCAGGTGGACTTGCAGTTCCCCAATGCCTTCTTGGCATTTCCTCTGAACAGCTGTTTAGTGATGCTGCTGTTACACATTTTTCTGGACCGATTAACTCACCTTCCTCATAGAAATCTGGAAAAGATTGCGTGTTCCCAGACAGCCACCCTTCAACCTTCCTTGCCTGAAAAGAGAACTACCAACAAGGAACAAAAACCTGAACCATGACTAACAACCAAGATGTTTGCAATCTAGTTGAGTTTGACATGCCCTTGTGGGGGAGGGGGAAACGTGCCTAAATTCATTTTTAATTAATGTTTTCTTTCTATCAACAGTTTGCCATAGTTCCTGGCCAATGAAAAAAACTGTCAATGTTTTTTAAATGTTTATTTATGGTAAAAGTGCAGATAACTGTAATTTTGTAAGAGTTTGTAATCTGTCTTGTCAGATGTTAACTTGATGCCTGTTTTGTCTATTTTTTTTCACTAAAGAGAAAAAAAGGACCCACATTTGTAAGCATATGTTACTAAAGATATAAGACATAGATGTGCTTAAAGATAAATTTCAGATGTATCAGGCACTTACAAAAAAAATCAGTATTACTTGGAAACTGTGTCACCCATGCAATAGTCTACAGAAGAGGTGAGGGTGGTTACTGGAAGGCGGCAGGGACACAGAGTTCCAAATTTATAAGAGTGTTGATTTAGGCACTGACACTTGAAAGAGGGCAAAAAAGCCCGTATAATCCTTGATTAGAAGAAGGAGAAAGATTTGCCTTACACTAGTGAGATAGTTAGAAGCCATAACTGAAACTGACTGAATCCCATCATTTAGGGATTTCCTGGTACTGTGAAGTAAAAAAAAGGAAAAACCCACCTTTCTCTGGTATGAGACTACTGCAGGGGAGCAAGCGCTCAGCAGTCTAAGGCAAAGAATTGCTGTGTCCAACGGTAGCTGTGCAACCAACAGCTACGCAAATCCGGAAGCATGTACAGATTCATTCTTGCACTATAGCTCCCCCCTCATGAGGAGGGGAGTACATTTAATTTCATAAAGAAACTTGTAAAAGTGACTTCTGTTCATTGTGTTTGTTAACAAAATTCTTAGTGCAACAGCCCTGCCCTTTGTACTTTGGTTACTTTGAGCATCCAACTAGCCTGTGTGACCTTCTTTTCTCCTCCCAGTGCTGAAGAACCTGTAGTTGTCTAAGGATCATCAAACTTCAGTTCCCGTCTAACACAGCCAAGTGAAGCACAATTAGAGCAAACGATCACTATCTGAAGGGCCAAGATTCTCCCCCAGACCTAACGGCATATTCACAGCCATATTTATTACAGCGCTACGTACATCTGTGAATGAGCTATTACAGAAAAATCTTTTCCACTGTATTTTATCTTTGCATGTACAGTGGGGTCTCTACTTAAGAACTTAATCCGTATTGGAAGGTGGTTCTCAAGTTGAAAAGTTCTTATGTTGAATCTGCATTTCCCATAGGAATGCACTGAAAACCATTTAATCCGTATCTGCTCTTTTCCGTCCATAGAAACTACAGTGGAACCTCTACTTAAGAACTTAATCCGTTTTGGAATGGTGTTCTTAAGTTGAAACATTCTTAAGTTGAAGCAAGATTTCCCATAGGAATGGACTGAAAACCAATTAATCCGTTCTGGCTGTTTTTTTGTTATGTAGAGGTGCGTTCGTACATTGAAGCATTAGTTCCCATAGGAACTAATGCAAAGCTGGTTAATACGTACTCTACCACTAGGGGGAGAATTTTTTTTTAACCTAAGATGACCTAAGGTTAAAAAAAGAGCAGGAAAGGTTTTTTTTTCCTGTTCTTATCTTGGATTTCTGTTCTCAAGTAGAAGCAAAATTTAGCAAATGAAGCTGTTCTTAAGTTGGATTGTTCTTAAGTAGAGACGTTCTTAAGTAGAGACCCCACTGTAGTGGTTTGGATCCTAAGAACTGAAAGCATACCTGCTTTAGAATAAGGTTTTCTCACCTCTTTCATGTTTCTGTTATTGAAAAACTGCTGCTGATGGTCATGGTACCTTTGAAGACGGCTTGGATGTCACATGGGGCGGTTGGGATGAGGAGAAAAATTGTTAAATGAGGGACAAATTAACTATCTTTGTCCTTTGGTAAGCACACAGACCTTCTGCTCATGTAAGCAATTCTTAGTGCTCACTCCAGTGCATTTCAGTGTATCCAAAAATTGATAAGGTGCTTCAAACTATGGAGATCTGCAATTAACTGTAGTCTAAAAGTGAAGCTTGATGAATTCGAGTGTCATGGAGGTACCACAAAGCTCACTGGGAAACAGGCAATATGGTGATTCCCATTCTTTGCAAATATAGGCAGCAGACACTTATGCATCTACACCTAACTTGGGGTGGTGGTGGTGATTTGGTGATATTAGCCAAATAATAAGTTATTTACTTTTTGTCTATTGAAATATTTAATCTGGGGATAGAAGATATGCTCCCCAAATCATTCATTCAATATAAGAAAAGCTAACTGCACAACAAGAGTTCCTGTACAGTTAAGGTATACTCTTTGAAAACACACCACAACCAACCACTAACACAGCAGTTTCAGCTACTAAGCCTGTCAATTGTACAGTTGATGGAAGTTTATCTCAGGCTACAATTGTACTACTTGGTGAGCATAGAACAATAGAAATGGCATATAAAGAAGCTTGATATTTAGGTAGTGGATATTGACAGACTAGGACTCAGGAGACCTTAGTTCAAGTCCCCACTCAACCATGAAACTAATGGGGGTTGGGGGAGGCAGTAGAAAGTGACTCCTTAAATATCTTGAAAACCCTACTAGGTAGGGTTGATAGCACCTCACAAACAAAAATACATTTCTTGGACTATATCAAAAACAGTGAGCTTTTGTGTCCTGCAAGACTCTTCTTCAGACTTGTAGGTGTAGGATAATAAAGTCTAAAAAAAACCTCCTGGCTGTACGTTAAAAGCATCTGGATCAGAAACTGAAGCGAAGATAGACGGAAATTGCAAACTTAAAACTAGATGGAGGTGTCTTGTTATCTGGTTTCATCTCAAGGGATAGTATTTACCATTTGTCTCCATTTCTGCAGATAAATGAGCAGCAGTCACTAATCACAATTCACTAATTGAATTCTTCAGTTATTTTTGTTGAAGCACAAACATCCTTCTTTAGCTGGCAGCAGAAGCACTCAAACTGATGTCAGTCTGTAGTGTACTTCATTAGTATAAATTATACTAGAATTCCTCTAAGTAGGGTCGAAGATGTAACACTGGCAATTATCCAAATACACCCTATAGCAGTGATGGTGAACCTTTTTCAGACCGAGTGCACAAACGGCAACACAAAACCAAATTATTTATTTCGAAGTGCCAACATTGCAATTCAACCTGCATACTGAAGTTTCAGTTTAGAAAAAAGAACTTATGTCATTTACACATCTTGTCTGGTTCTTTATTGATTCCAATTGACAGCTTTTACAAAAAAGCCAAGTGCAAAATGCTACACTGAATTAAATGCACCCTATTTATAAAGCTTATTAAGTGCACTGAAATCCTGAACTCGTTTCCTCCAAAGTAAGCTACCCTCTGAAAAGCAGCTATATATAGGAGTGCAAATTTTTAAAGTGTATATCTACATTTTATATACAGTGGTTCCTCGCTTGACGATGTTAATTCATTCCAGCGAAATCGCTGTAGAGCAAAAACGTCGTCAAACAAAATAAAAAACCCATTGAAACCCATTGAAAAAACGTTCAATGCGTCGCAATGGGCTGAATACCTGCTCGTCCAATGAAGATCCTCCATACGGCGGCCATTTTTGGTGCCTGTAAAGCGAGGAATCCATCCTCAAAAACAGCGGGGAGCCATTTTCTTCAACCGGCAGCCATTTTGAAACCCGACGATGAGCTGTTTGATGATCATTGTAAAGCGAAAATCAGTTCCCGAAGCAGGGAACCGATCATCGCACAGCGAAAAAAACATTTAAAACATCGTTTTGCGATCGCAAAAATGTCAACATAAAGCGGATTGGTCGTAGAGCGGGGTAATCGTCTAGCGGGGCACAACTGTATTACATAAAGTGAATACACACATTTCACTTATTTGAAATGTAGTGTTGGAAAAGAGATTTACAGATATCATGACTAGTCAGAAAGATAAGTAAAGAAAATTGAGTGTGGACTCTCACTGGAAGCTAAAATAACCAAGCAGAGGGTATTGTACTACAGTGGCATCATGAGAAGACAAGCTCACTAAAAAACGCAGCAATGCAGTTAAAAGTGCAATGCAGTAGGAAAAGAGGAATACTGCACATGAGATGGATTGACTCAATAAAGAAAGCCACAGTCTTCTATTTGTAAGACCTTTTGTTTGGTGTTGCAGTCAAAGCAGGACCAGGAGCAAAGAGACTGGTGTTTAGATTTGGGGAATAAACTATACTTTGCCTGCTTTTGGGATGAGAAACAGAGAAACGCGATTGCTACGCACTTCAGAAATCTAGTCCCAGGTGTGTTGGTTGTCTTTTACTAGGTGTTTGCTGTTAGTGAGACTCTGCTAAATATTCCAGTTCTGCCCAGTTCAATTTAGAGTCTAAACAGAATCCTGAAATACTGTACTTGCTGTTCTCAGCAAAAATTGCAGAGATAAATGCAGTGGAGATGATGAACTTTGGAAAGTTCCTTTTTTCATGGTTTAATTTATATTTAGTTTATATACCACCCCATTAGTTGCAAGGCACTATTCTGGGCAGCTTACAATTACAAACCAGGACAAACAAACTATAGACAAACTAAAATGTAACAGAAACAATAAAGAGGACCAGATGGGAGGCGCTCAGACAGGGTTGGATTGAAAAGCCTCCCTGAAGAGTAGTGTTTTTTAAAACTCAACCTCCATCTCTGTTGTATGCTTTTCTAAGAAAAGCTACTTTTGTTTTCACTTCACCAGTTTGTTTTGCAGAGTATCCCGTGACTGGTCACATCATCATGACAGCGTTTTTCAATGTTCCCAGTTTGGGGACCCTGGGAATCAAAAACAGAGTCTGGGGGCTTTGCTGAAGCCCCAGATGATCGGGATCTAACCAGTATCTTTACAAAGATCATCTAAGTAAGGAACCTAATAAATGACATAACTGAATTCAATTAAGGCTAGATGGAGGCATTCTGAATGTTATACTTAACCAATGAATGGATTAAGTACTCATACTGTTACTTTGTCCTTTAAAAAAACAGAAAGATTAATGAATAATAATTTATCAAGCCTGTCTTCCTATAAACATCCTGGGAATAAGCACAATTGACTACAAGGGATTTACACTTATATAAACATGGACAGCACTGCATTTTAGAAATGTTACATCACAGGATTGCAGAGCTCCATCCCATAACATATGGTGAAGTTCTAATGATATATTTCTGATATATTTCTATAGTACTATAATTTTTCAAACCTTGACCTATTGCTGCCAAGTTAAAACTTTTTCTTTTCCTCCCTCCCTCCCTCCCTCCCTTCCTTCCGCTAACCATCTAGCCAGGCTATTTTGGATGGTTCACAACACAATCAAACAAAAAACATAATTACAAGTATAAAATAAATTCAACATATAAAACATCATAAAATATAACGACAATTAAATAATCATATAATAAAATCTTAGATATTTAAATATTTCAAATTGTGCAAGGGCAGAAAAATATTTTAATCAAAGGCTGTTTTAAGACAAACATGTTTAGGCTTCTTTTGTTAATTTCCCTACTTACCAGAAAACATCGCAGGGCTATATTTTGGATTAAAAATAGAGCTATGTGGAAAATGCCTTAAAATTACTTCCACCTCCCACTCTGTCAGAGAAAGCAATTTGTAAGGCTGGCCAGAAAAAAAAAAATCAAAAAACGATTTTAATACAATCTTACCGAAATCTTTTACTGGGTTCTTTTGAATGCAATGCAATCCACCAATTGTAATTAGCTTTTGATGCCTTTTAAATTCTGGTTTTAGGAGTCAAGTCTCTCTGTGTCTCTCTTTCTCTCTCTCACACACACACTTTGGAAGGTTCCTTTTTTCATGATTTTATGAAAGTCAGTTTCTCACACACACAACCTCCCTCCCTCTCTTCCTCCCTCCCTAAATTTTCAGCATTTGCATCAGTTCAGTATGTCCGTTTCCTCATAACATTTAAACAAGCTGATGAATCCACCCATCCTTCTCTCGCACCTTTCTTCCCGCCTTAATTAGAGCTTTTCCTCCTGCTTGTAGTCACCTCCGGAGGAAGTAGTAATTCATAAGCAGGATTGACTGCCCCGGGCTGTTCTACAGCAGTAAACAATAAAGCAACCTTATCTCCAATCTGTAAAAGAACTGATTTACAAGTGCCGCAACCAAGGAAGATAACAGGGATAGGTAGCTTACAATTGTGAAGTTTGAGGTCGGCTGCGGGGGGTGGGGGTGTAGCACTCCGCTCTCGTGGCCAGGGAGAGGTCTCTGTGTGCCAGCTGTGGCACACATGCCATAGGTTTGCCATCACTGTCCTAGAGGAACCCTTCACAATGCATGGGGTGAGGTGCAGGGTACAACTGCTACTTACAACAATACTTGTTAGTAGCAGTTCTATAGAAACATTTTTCCAGAATACAGTGGTGCCTCGCATAGCGAGGTTAATCCGTTCCGGATTAACCTTCGCTATGCTGAAGCATCGTTGAACGGGGCAGGGAATTCCATTGGTTTAATGCGTTCCAAATGGGCCAAATACTCACCGTTCAGCGATGCTTCTTAATGGCCGGCAGCCATTTTCGCGCCCTCGCCTTGCTTAACGAGGGCGCGAAAACGCTGCGCGTGGCCATTTTGGGCCATTTCCGGGCTTCCGGCGGCCATTTTGGCTGCCGAACAGCTGATCGTCGGGCTTCATTTTGCAAAGATCGGTAAGCGAGAAAGGTTACCGGTCTTCGCCAAGCGAATTTTGCCCTATTAGAAAAATGTTGAGCGATCGCATTAGCGATCCGAAAAAATGGCTCGCTATGCGATTTCATCGTTATATGGTGCGCTCGTTAAGCGAGGCACCACTGTACTATAAACTGGAAATGATGCAACAGGGAATAATTTGTTCAATTTGTGCTACAATACGTAACCTTTGTAAGCCATGACACACAGTAGCATGAAAATGTTGTCTTTGCTTCAACTCACACCATACCAAGGACTCGGCTACATATGCATTACTCGTTTCTTGTTTGAAACAAGTTTGTGATTTGATCCTTATAGTCATACCTCTAACAAGCTTACGGATCGAGCTATTCCTTTAAAAAAAGTCTATGAAACAAACTTGAGGGGCTGAATCTGTGGAGGCCACCCTTGAGATAATGTGAAGTAAGACAAATTCTACAGAGCCCAGAGAAGGGCTTTGCATGTTTGCTGCTTCATGATTCATCTTACAAAGTCTTAGCTCCTGCCCCTCATCTTAAAAGGCATGTTGGCTATTAATTCAGAAATCTAAAAATGACCTGTTTTTCAGGTCTGTGCAAATGCCCAATCTATTTTCCATTATTCAACTATGTGAAGCACCTCTTGCAGGTTTCTGAAATTGTGCATGCAACACAAAATGTAAGATGCTGACACTGCTTGCAAAAGTGGAATCTGTTATACTATCGAGGGGTCAATTTAATATTTCTTTTCCTTTGAAAATATACGATGAATATGATTCAAAGCCAGTGTGATGTGAACAGAACTACAAATGGGCCAACAGGTTAGTTATTTCCAGTGCAAATTAAACAGGTTAACAGCTAGTCAAGTGCCACAGTGAGCTGTAGTTTTGTAAATGTTTATAAAACAATTCTATAGAACCACAATAAGCAACACAGTCAATCTTTATTGAAAACTGAAGTATTAATACATAACAATTCCTGTTACATAAACGTGCTTTTAAGAATTTAACTCTGAGCTCATCTACTCATTGGATTGCATAAAAATAAAAATGAATTTTACACAATTGGCTCAGAATGGAATTGCCACTCCTATGTGTTGATGCAAAAGTTCAATGCAGATGTGATGCTTTAAACTTGTTCTGGAAGACAACATTGACCTAAACTTGGGAAAAAGTACCAATACAACTGTTTTAAGACAGTATTTAAAAAAAAAAATTATAAAAAAGGAAACCTGTGCCTATTTCATAACAAACACTATTACTGGGGCCTCTTGCACCTCTGTTGCATGCACTCCCCCTTTTCACCCCACAAGGGCAGCCAATAATAGCACTACAGTAAAATCCCACTAACAAATCCATTCTACTAAAAACAAGTCTGTACAGCAGCAAGCTAAATGAAGCTTCCCCAGTTTGCTTGCTAAGTGCTCTAAAGTCACACCAGACTGGAAAAAGTCATACTGCTACTGATGTCAGGTAACTGGAGGTCAACTGATCAGAATGTTTTGATATGTTAAATTGGCTTCTGATAATGGGATACTCAAATATTTTCATGTCTCATCCGAATATCCCATAAATATCAGTAAAATGCCTTCACCAGCCTGAAAAGACAGTTCAAGAATTGTGACAGTTAGGAGATATTAATGCAAAAACATGCCCATGTATCCTTTGTTTGTTAGGGCTATCAGTTAACACCTCCCCATCTCTACTTAAAAACAGCCCAACCAAAGAGTTCCACATAGATGTTTCAGTGCACACAGACAGCTTCCTTCTCTGCATAAAGTTCCCTTTTCACTTCAAACAGAAGTGACAGTTTTACATGATAGAAAGGAATAACCACACAGAGCTGTCCCCTCTATTTAAATCAACAGGCAAGATCACATTCTAAAAAGATCTGTGTGCATATGGGGGAAAAATAATAAAACAAGCCCTGAATTTTGAATGTAGAATTTTATGTACAAACAGAGAACATTTGCTCATTTTTTGGGGCAGTTTACATTCCCTTGATGACTGTTACTAGGTTTACCCAACAGAATTCTATGCTGAGCTTCACAACTATCAGGAAGCTATTAACTACCAATGTGGATCTTTTTCCAGATGCCGCCACTTAGTACTGGGCATGCGCCTAACAGTGTCAACGTATCACTGTGATATAAAGATTTCAAATATTCAGCTTTGCAACACTTAAAATTACTGTATTTTAATCTGAACAGAATTAAGCTCATGACACCATGATCAAGCAATTGGAACAACATTCACCAGAAAGGTATAGGAACAAGGATAACATGTTGCCCAACCAATTAAAATAGAAATTAAGATTAGCTCTGTTAAGACTAGCTTATACGGGACATCCCAATATGAAGATTGTACAATTTAGAGTTTAAATGTGTTACACTGTAAGTGGCTTTCCAATTTCAGGGGTTCAAATGAAACACCCCCCTACCTTCCCATATCATCTCCATCATAGCATCAAGACACTACGCATGGTTATTTTATAAGCTTGTGAGAGTACCTGAATTTTTGTAGGCCAACATCAATATTTAGTTACACATTTATAGACAGGATTAATAATGAAGGTTTAGTTTCTTATTGGATGGTTAATGGTAAACACCACTGACTACATCTACCAGTATCTTGGGCAAATGATATTTCCATTGAATGTGACTATTCTGCTAGAGTTTTTAAAGAGACACTTAGAATACTGTGTTATTTACTTTGGGGACATCTAATAAGTGATACTTTCAACTTTATTTAAAAACATAACATTTGACATTAAGCTCAGATCCTTTGTTTTCTGTTATTGCTGTAACTTTTAAAATTCACTTCCAAATATATCTTAAAGGCTGCACTCATATGAAAGCAGCTTAATTTGAGCCTTGTCTACACTGTAGTAGCTCCATTTATGGCTTTCTGGGAGCTTCAATATTAAGATGTGAGGTTTTATCACTCCTACCCACCCCACTGGAATTCTAAACAGGGAATGAATGGGCAGCAGGAGCAAGAATTCCACAAAATCCCTCTGCTGCCATTTGAAGTACAAACTTACAGTTTCATATTCATGCTTTTAATTATTTGCAACAATATACCTAGCTATATACATCCTCTCTTTACTGTGCTTTTGGTTACTTCCCTATTGACTTTCTTGGA